TGCTGCAGGATGCCAACGTGACAGGGAAGCCGACAATCACCAGGAACAGACTCGGGGGCACTGTGAGACTGACAGGGTGAGTGCCTGACCCTGAGCTGGGTCTGAGCTACCCATGGATGTACCTGGAGAGCTCCCCCACTCTCCACCTCTGTCCTTTTGCCTCCCTGAGTCCCGAATTACCTTCTCAGACCCCATCCTGCCCCCAGTTCATATCTGTGCCAGGACAGTTCCCATCCCTGTGCCTGGCTCTGACCCTGATCTTGTCCTACAGGCTCCACATAACACAAGTGGCATCAAATGTGGGCCCGGTGGAGGTGAGTGGATGTGCCAGGGAAGCCAAGGGGAGTCCTGGATTCCACATCACCCTGGAGGGATCTGGGGGCTGTGGACCCCATGCATGGCAAGTCGGGCAGGGGGCTGAGCCCTGCCTGCAGAATGGACCCCTCTGTCTGTGCTGAGCCGGGCTCAGGGCCTGCCTGCCCCACAGGTGAAGCGTCTGGAGACCCTGCTGAAGTTCAGTCTGTGGCTTTTTGGGGTTCCCCGGGCAAACAGTAAGTGCTGTCCCCGTTCTGTCCCCCCATCCTCCCACAGCTGCACCAGGGCCATCCCCTGCTATGGCTTTGTCTCCCCACAGAGTGGCTCCAGGCTGGCATCCCCCTGCCCCTCCCGCGTGGCCTCAGCCTGCTCAGACCTCGGCTCTCACTGCACCAGGTGGGTGCCACCACTGTCCCCTTTCCCCGGGGTCCCCCATGTCCCCCATATCCCCCATGTCCCCCATATCCCCTTTCTCACCCTGACTCCTTACAGGGCTTCGTGCTCATCGCCACGGACCTGCAGTATGAGCCGTGAGACAGACATCTGCCTCGTGGGAGCCCCCCAGCCGTGTCCCCATCACCGTCCCGGTGCCACCGTGCCCCCGTGGCTGCCATATCGGGAGCCACAGCCCCTACCCTGGGCAGGGATTAAAGGGGAGGTAGCTCAGCCCTGTGTGCTGTGGGTGTCTCGGGGAGTCCCCTCAT